CCCATCCATCCACCTCCCCCCCCCAACACACACACACAAGGCCTAGCCGTCCAGGACACACACACACACCCCTTCCACCCCAACCATCTCTTATGAATGGCATGGAAACCAAAGGGCATGGCGCTGGCACCTCGACACTGAATAATTCAGACCCCAAATGAAAGCGGAACAAGGGCTGAGAGCCCAGGGCAGGCGATCTCGCTCTGCCGGCCCAGGTGAAGGGAAGAGCCAAGTTCGCATTCAGCCGAAAGGGCGGCAAGGAAGGAAACAAAACCCGCCGACCCCGGAGGCGTTTCAATCGCCTTTCCTGAGGCTCGGACACATGGCATCGATCAGCTCGGCCTCCCCTCTCCCCTGCCCCTCCCGCCTCTGCTCCGGCGTAACTTAACCCACAGAAACATGCCCCGCGCTTCTTGAATAATGAAGGAGACGAGGCAGAGTCTCCCTCCGGAAAGCCTATTCTCTTGTGCAAGTGATCTTCAAAATAAAGGAGCAGAGCATTTATCCGGACTTGTTAGAGCATGGCAGGAACTCGCTCCTGAGCTGGGAGGGCCTCTTCTTTTCTTTCTTCCCTTTCTTCCCCCCCCTGCGGAGCAAGTGCAGACAGTGCAGGATACGTGCATGAAATAGAAACGTGTTCCTGGCTCCGGAGAAGGCCGGCGGCTGGGGATTAGCTGCTGTCCCCGGCGAGGCCGGCTGGGCCCGGAGACCCCTCCGTCTCCCCGGCGGGCATCAGTGCGAGCCCCGCGCCGTGTCCCCCGGGCTGGTTATTTCCCAGATCAAAGTTCATCATAAAAGAAGGGGGGGGGGGGAGAAGATAGAAACGCTCATCGGAGGCTCTCTGCACATGCAATAACGCCATGTTGGTGGAGACTCCTATTAAGGGCACCTTTCTGCAGATTGCAAAGCCCTCCCTGCACCACAGCTTGCAAAGCCCCCCTGGAACGGGTCTTATCCCTCTGCGCCCAGGCGAGGACACCCTTCCCTGCTGCCAGCCCGGCCTCCTTTCTCCTTTTTTTTTTTTCGCTTTTTGCACAGCTCCCTAGCGAGGGGGAGGGCTGCCATGAGCCCCAGGCCGCGGCCGCGAGCTCGCAGCCCTGCGGGAGCCCGGCCCCGCCGCCCGC